GTCTATGTAGAGGGAAGACATGATTGAGGGAGGGCGGTGGCGCAGATGACGGGAATACAGACGCGGCCGCCTAGCACGTTCGATGCGTTCCGTATTACTTACAATGCATCTTGATGTTGATGGCCACCCGGGAAGACGTCAGAGTCTCCTGCCTGCTCCAGCCGCCCTCGCCGGTCCTCACCCAGGGGGTCACCGTACAGTAATGGCCGCCGGCATCTTCCTCCTCACAGCCGTACACCCGCAGCCTGTACTCCATGTCGCTGATCCGCTCCATGGACACCTCACTGGTGCTGTTCCTGCGCCCGTGCCGGACCAGAGACGCGCGATCCATCAAGGCCAGGAAGACGGCGGAGCCGCTCGGTCTCTGGGCGTACCAGGAGACCTCGAAGGCCATATCCGCTGCGGAGAGAAGGGGCGAGAGGTGAGGGGAGTCAGTGCATGAGGTCAGAGAGCAGCTACAGAGGTCAGTGAGGACTTTTACTGCTAACCGTCCATAGACCAGAAAAAAGGAAACCTCCGTCCATGCAAGGCTAAGAAACCGGTTCTCTTCAATGCCCCCCCCCCCCCCCCCCCACGCAGTCCGTGCCATGAGAAATAACAATGTAACCTGCCGCCGTTTACCTGGAACCACGGCCGGCCCGTCAATGGTCACGATGCACCAGATTTCGGCTCTCTCGCCGAGGTAAACGCTGGAGCTGTCCGAGTGAGCCGTCACATTGAAGACGGGACCTGATTGGAGCGAAGAAGAGAACATGTGACGTCCATGGACACGAGGCGACCATTCATTGACTTCAGGTGACAACTTACATCAGTGGGGCAACCAGCAGGGGGGCAACACCGGGCCAACCAATCCAAGGAGGGAGCTCTGGGGGTCCCGTTGTTAGGCCTCAGAGGGGGCCAGTGCTGGGGGAAGGGGCTCACCTTTTATACACTCGTTAGTTACCCGCGAGACACATACAGTGACTACACTGTACCCCAGGGAGGAACTTCCTGCCATGGAATGTAGGGGGGAGCACAGTGACTACAAGGTGTCCCGTCCCCCATGGCAGTTCCTCCCTGGGGTAGAGGGTTGGAGGGAAGAGGGGGGGCCTACCTGAATTCTGGAACTCCAGCTGTACCGGATTGCTGGTCTGATTCCCCACCATCCGCCAGGCTCCGCCCCCGCCCTGCGTCCAGGCCACGATCGCGCACCGATAGGCTCCGCTGTTGTGGTTCTGTGCTTGGTGCAGCCTGAAGATATAGACGCCCTCCTTCCCTTTCTCCAGGAAGGTATAGACGCCCTCCTTCCCTTTCTCCAGGAAGGTATGACTCCCAGCGGACTGCATCCGATGGATCACCCCCTCCCGGTTCAGGGAGAGGACATTGAGGGGGGCCAGGCTGGAGTCCGGGGGTGTCAGTGTGACCTGCACAGAGTACTGGGGGAAGGGGATATTCTTGGGCTGGACCGTGCACATCATCTCGAAGGTTCCTCCCGCCGCCGACACCGTCTGCATTGGTCTGGCGGCCACGGCGAGTCCGAAGTCTGCGGGAAGGAGGAGGAGCAATAATCAGATGATGAGTATAGACGCCCCAATGGGACCAACAGAAACTATAAATCCTCCACACACCC